CCACCCGAAATGCAACCAATTTGGTGTCATTCCGGTGGAGGAGTGTATGGAGTTGTTGTACAACCCTTGCACAATCGGCAATTCCTCATCCCAAGAATTCTGATCGGTATCCTAGGGGACAATTAGAGCACGGATCGCGGTCTGGTTGATCTCCTCAGCCAATCCATTAGCTTGATGTCGACCAGATGCCATCTTGAGTTTGATGTCATGGATCAGTGAGGTGAATTTTTTCCAATCTGCACTTATGAACATGGTGTCCCGGTCACTCACAAAAGTTTTCGGGGGACCGCCCTCCTCTCTCTTCTTCATCCATGCCTAGGCTATGGCGGACTACTAAGAGCTTTGCCCTGACGTGCCAAAGGCAACACAAAGCAGCTATGTCGTCTTCCTCTCAGGCCGCCATGCCTGACTCTGCCTTGAAGCTTTTTGATGCGGTGAGACCCCAACTGCGGCCTTCCAGATGCAGCACCTACCAATGATGAAGATGGTGTACACCATAGCCAGGTAAGTACCCTCGCGCTACCCTCTCCTAGTCCCCTTCTTCTTCCTCCTACCCGAATTCCTCCACCATAGCCAAGGAGGACAGCTGGGCGCTCCTCTTCCCCAGTGCTCAACACAGCGCTTCTCCGCTGGTCGCTCCAGCAACATGACGCCCAAACTTGTTTGCAGCAAATGAGGAGCACTTCGCTCCTTCTGGAGATATAGCGGCCAACCTGCCTCTTGGGTGGTGACTTCCAGGCCATGCGGCCTCCAAGCAACCGGTACCTCCTCCCTTTCGGAGGGAAACATCATTGCAGGCTTTGATGTCGTTCGCACAGGCCCTAGACTCAGACTGCTTGGACTGGTACCTGCCCAGACCTAGCGTATTGCTACTGGCCTCTAAAAATGCTAACCTTCTGTCTTCTTCTGCTTGACCTCCTGTTCCCGACACATCTACCGCTACTTGAGTGGTTCCGGCCTACCTGCTACTTGAGTGTTTTTCCCTGCTGACCGAAGTGTCGCAGCCTACTCCCCACTACTTGAGTGTTTCCCTGCGGCAACCCTTAAAGTTACGGCCACAGGTAAGTATCGGCCCCGCGGGCCTCATAACACACAAACGCCCTGTTGGGCCACACACACACTCAGACTGACAAGCACTTAGACAGGCACAGGAACCAGCAAGAACGCCCCCACACACAGGCTTAGAAAACTCTGCAGAACGCGAGAATCTCAACAAGGCATTCATTACAGCGGCAAAACTCAGAAATCAGCGGTGTTCTCAGTCTTTGTTTTGGCAGGTCATTACGAGCAATGCGAACAGCAATAAATGAAGTTGCGGCATCTCATAGAAGACCAAAAATTATTGAGTCAACATTTAAAGCAGAAATCAAAGCAAGATCCACAGAAAGTAGGAACGAACAAAGCACTAAAGTCTCTTGATAGTGAAAGGCCTTCCAACGCCTCCAATTACCAATACAACAACAATGTAGCCCTCGCACAGGTGGCTTTACTGCCAACTCTTACTCCTACAACTCCTCTCAGACGAGCCTACGTATGTCAGCAACTGGTCCACGTGTCATCCTCCCAATGCCGCTTGAAGACTTTGATGGAACAGCGTACCTTTGTCAACACCAGGTACATGCCTCGTCACACAGCCTCTCTTCCTTCCGCCACTCCCTGTTTCACCAAGGACCTCACTACACCACTGGCTGTGGAGTGAGCAGTCCGGCTATGGATGCTGCTCTCCCTCTTTCTCTCGCACCTTGCTGCAAATGTACAGCTTCCCTCCTTCACTCAAGGAAAGGAAGAGGAGTTCAGTGGGAGCACAAGCCGCACTGGTGAGTGCACTACTCATATGGCTATGCTTCAGACAATCCATACTGGGGAAACAGGAAGGGAGTGTGTCTAGCACATGCTGGGAAGGGGCGACCAGAGAGCGGGAGAGAGCTTGCCACCGTTAGGTGGCACCTCGTGCAAGTGGGAGGAAAAGCTGTGGAGAAGGGACTGGCCGGGGAAGCATAGACAGTGGACTCAGGAACAAGTGAGAGGAAAAGGAGTTCAGCAGGTGCAATGTACTCCACTGACTATATTTAGTAGGTAGCACAGGGACAAACAGACCTAGCTACCAGAAGCAACGTGGGCATTGCAGACTTTCAATTCCTGGGAAAGATGATCCTCATGTATTCACATGAAGAAAAGGAATTTCCACATCCAAAACAAAAGGGTGCTCCACACTGGTAAGTGACTGGAACTGACTGTACGGATGGAAGGGAATCCAGTTGAAGAATCAGCAGAACTTGGTGAGATTCAAGCACAAAGGACAACGTAAGGCACCACAATCTGCAACGGGCTGAATCAAGGTTCAATCATTAGCTACCAGAAGCAACGTGGGCATTGCAGACTTTCAATTCCTGGGAAAGATAATCCTCACGTATTCACATGAAGAAAAGGAATTTCAGATCCAAAACAAAAGGGTGCTCCACACTGGTAAGTGACTGGAACTGACTGTACGAATGGAAGGGAATCCAGTTGAAGAATCAGGCGAACTTGGTGAGATTCAAGCACAAAGGACAACGTAAGGCACCACAATCTTCGACAGGCAGAATCGAGGTTCAATCATTACTACCCATGGGAGAAATTAAAGTCATTATCTCTCTGGTTTCCTTGATTGTCCATATCGCGTCCGTTGATTGTCCTTGATTGTCGATGTTGCATCCCTCTGATTGTTCTTGATTGTGCATGTTACATGCAGTAGGTTGTTGATTAATATTCACCATTGCATCTCACTTTGTTTATTGCGAGGTTGTTTAGTTGATTACACCCAGTCTTTCATACTAGTTATCATCCCTGTAAATCATACTTGCAAGCGGACGCCGTCCGGGCGGTTCCGCATGTGCGGCAGACCACCGGACCAGAACCGCGCGGCGCACGAATGTGTGCCCGACGACCAGTTACGCCCCACCCCCAAAAAAAAAAAAAAAAAAAAACGGCCCGTCCGGTCCGGTCCGGGTCCATCTGGTCCGGGGGAGGGTGCCGCACGCGGCAAAACGGACCGGACCGGACGCTCGTCCGGTCTGCTGCTTGCAAGTATGCTGTAAATCCACAGGCGAAGATTCCCATGGGTCTACACAGTTGGTGCTGTGTGAGCGACTGCTTGGCTCATTGCCGCTCATTAAAGGTTGCTTTCAGACATAAGTAGAACATAAGTTTTCTTGTCACTCATTGCTGAGGCTACTTTCTATGCTTTGCCTCTCAGTCCCTCTCTGCCTCTTTTCCTCCAAGTGGCGATTCTTGGCAGTGGCACGCTCGCTCTCTAGTTGCCCGTCTTCAGCACGTGTACTAGACACACTTGCTTCCTATTCCCACTCGACCTGTGGTGCTGCAGCGAGGATTGTCTGAAGCATGAAGCATAGCTGTATCAGTAGCGCGTTCACCCACCAGTTTGGCGCCTGCCATGAAAATTGCCGGAGGCAACCGGTTTGATTTATTTGGGGGTGGGAATGTTTTTGGGGGCTATCTCCTATGATTATTGTATCAATGAGAATTTCATCCGGCCGTTGGTCGTTATGTGTAAGTATCATTTAGCCACCTGGCAGATCCAGTGATCCATATGTGTCCATCCAGTTCTCATTTTGACATTCTCCTCCTTTCAGCTCTATGTGATGGCCTTTGTGAGCTTTTCACTCCGTGCCACGTAGTCATGCTTTCATTATGGCTAGGGTTTCAGCCGAGCCTCTCTGCAAACGAGTAAGATTTAAGACCAGCTGCGATTCAGAGTTCAGACTCATAAGTCTAAACAAAACCCAAAGTTATATACGGAGTGTTTATTTCCGAGTGGTCCAGATCAAGCTGCTGGAGACCGTTCAGGGCAGCTATTCAAGGGTAAGATGCAGAAATATCAATAGGATGGCATGAACGGCCGGGGAGTTCAGAATAGCATGCCATGAATGGCATGCCATGCCATATCGGCTTCCTCCTCATGGAGTTGAACTCATTGAAACACTACCGCAGTTAGCATGCTGTTTAACTGACTACTTTGAACTTTCACAACCTGATAAAGAATTCTCTCGCTGGTGGCCAGGATAATGCTGGTGCCATCCGAGAACAGATTGAAACTTGAAAGGCTTGAATTGATTGATGGTGGGGACAATTTTGAAATGCATCCCGCCCTTTCAGTCCCACCATGGTACCTTAATGCCAGGATTGATCTCGCCTCTGTTTTGGGTTTGGTCATCATACCGGCTGCTGGTTTGGATGATGCTTGGACCCAATGTGGCAGGTTGGGACAATGCTTGAACCCAATGTGGCAGGCTCTGGAAGGAAGGCTTGGAGGTAGTGGTCGTTTGAGGAGTGATTCAACAAGTCAGAGTTTTATGACCAAGGCTTCAAAGGATTTGTCTGTATTTGTTGGGAAGAAGGTTTGCACTAGATTCGCGAGAAAGGTTTAGTCAAGCCCTCACAATGATGGTTTGAGTGGTGCCTGGTCCGCCTTGGGACTAATATGCTGTAGTCAGTGTAGTGGATATATCTAGCTTGAGGGAGAAATGGAGCCCAGCTGCCAAGCACAGACACAACAGCAATAGAGTGATGAGGATGCAGGCCAGCTATGATGAGGATGGAGCCTCAGAAAGGTAACCACAAAACTAGCTGAGATGCATGGTTGGGGTGAAGCAGTTAAGTTTAAGGTGGTTATGGTGCATTGCAACAAGCGTGGGGAGAACATGCTGTAGTAAAAAGACATTGCTTGAGGGAGGCAATGGAGCTAAATATCATGCCAGGATGTCTCGGTTGGACAGCCAGGTCACATAGTTTTTATAGTTTTTGATGCTGAGATTTGCCAGCTCTGGCAGTCTAGCTGCCCCAACAGATGAGTGTGTTCCCATGTTTTAATCACAGTTCGTTGCACAAAATCTACATTGGTGAGAGTGTTTCATGACACACAGTTCGCTGGTTCATTGACTGACCACAGTATTGCAATGCATTGTATGTGATCCTGCTCTATCTTGACATTTCTGATCCAGGCATGGTGCTGATAGTTGGTCGTTGTTGTACCCAACAGTTCCACAGACACTCCAGAAACTTCATGAAGATGGCTTTAAACTGGTAAGCAATCATGGGATGATATGTACCACCTCTAGTCTCTGCTGTCTAAGAACTGCCACAGTATCCCCACACCATGTCTTGTCTGTTTCTCCCCGCGGTCCCCATATCGAACACCACCCCTCTGTCCTCCCTCCCCC